TTTAATTTATCTCAAGTTATCTGTTTATTTCATCTTGGATCTCATTGTTAATCTATTCTTTGTTTAGTAAGTAGCATGTTACTTAGTGTCCATGTGTTTTTCAGTTTTCTCCATGTAATTAATATTCAATTTCATAAAATTGTGGTCAAAGAAGATGCTTGATATGATTTCAGTGTTCTTAAATTTATTGAGACTTTATTTGTGGCCTAACATGTGGTCTACCCTAAGAAATGTTTTATGCGCACTTGAGAAAACTTGATATTCTGCTAATTTTGGATGAAATGTCCTCAAAAAATCAATTAAGTCCATTTGGTCTAATTTTTCAGTTAAGGCCACCATCTTCTTGTTGATTTTCTGTCTGGATGATCCGTCCATTGATGTAAATGGAGTGTTAAAGTCCCCCACTATGACTGTATTACTGTTGCTCTCTCCCTTTATGTCCATCAATATTTGCTTTATATATTTAGATGCTCCTACCTTGGGTGCAGAGATATTTACAAGCATTATGGCCTCTTGCTGGATTGTTCCATTTTTCATGAATGCCTTTCTTTGTATGTTGTTACAGCCCTTGTTTTAAAGTCTATTTTGTCTGCTGTAAGAATTGCTACGACAGCTTTTTTTGTTTTCATATGCACATGTGTATCTTTCAATCTGGTAGTAAGTCTTTTGTAGGTACCATACGTATGGGTCTTGTTTTTTATTTTTGTTTGTGCTTACCTTGTGCTCTTAAACAATAATTGTTGCCCTGGCTGGGTGGCTCAGTTAGTTGGAGCACCATCCTGTACACCAAAAGGCTGCAGGTTTGATTCCTGGTCAGGGCACATACCTAGGTTGCAGGTTCAATCCCCAGTCAGGGCACATATGGAAGGCACTGATGGATGTTTCTCTTTCACATCAGTGTTTGTTTCTGTCTGTCTGTCTGTCTGTCTGTCTCTCTCTCTCTCTGTCTCTCTCTCTGGAATTGATGAACATATCATCAGGTGAGTATTAGAAAAAATAATAATTGTTTATTTTTCAATTACATTTGATATAAAATCTTAGTTTCACATGTACAAAATAGTGATTAGACTTTTATATAACCTATGATTACTCCAAAAAGTCTATTAACCATCCTATACCATACATAATTATCACAATATTACTGGCTATATTCCCTATGTTGTACTTTATACCCCCGTGACTGTTGTTATAACTGAAAACTTGCATGTTTTTTAAGAAAAAATTTATGAATTTATTTTTAGAGAGAGGGGAAGGGAAGGAGAAAGAGAGGGAGAGAAAGATTGATGTGCGACAGAGATATCAATCGGTCGCCTCTCATATGCACCCCTGCCAGGGACTAAACCTGCAACCCAGGCATGTGTCCTGGCCTGGAATTGAACTGGCAACCTTTTACTTTGTGGGATGACATCAAACAAACTGAGCCATACTGGTCAGGGCCCTAATGTATTCTTCATTTCAGTGAATGCATTCTTCATTTCTGGTAGGTTCTTTTTTTATGTTTTCTATCTCCATTATTATGTTTCCTATTTCTTTGTTAAAGTTCTAACTGAGTTCATCTGCTCCTCCCTAAGTCCATTGAGCATGAACTCTACATCTGGTAGATTGCTTATCTCCATTTTGTTTAGTTCTTTTTATGGAGTTTTGTTTTGTCCTTTCATGTTTCTTTGTCTCCTCATTTTGGCTCAATCCCTGTGTTTGTTCCTATGTGTTAGGTATGTGGGCCATGTTGTCTAGTCTTGGTAGAGCGGCCTTACGTAGTATGCTCCGTGTGTGTCCCTTGTGGGCCCTGCTGTTGCAGTTGAGCATCGATTGCTGCTGGCATGTCAATGGGAGGGATTGACCCTTAGGGTGACTGGGTTTGAGGAATGGCCATGACTATAGCAGAGGAGCTGTTGTACAGGGCCCAACCCCATGTAGCATGATTTACGTTTTTAAATTGAATTTATTGGGATGACATTTGTTAATAAAGGATTCGCTTTAGCAGGGTTCTGGTGCTTGCCAAGACCACCTTTTGGGTGTGTCGCTTGTGGAGGGGGTTGAGCGGTGCTCTGGTGTGATCTGAAGCTGGCCACTGGGTGTGTTGATTCTGGAGCCTCTCGGGAAGGGTTCTGTTGCAGATCAACGTCAGCTAATGCCTGTGCCTGGCCCAGGACTATGTGTATGAGCTACAAAGTGATCTGCAGTTGGTTGCTGCATGTGTTGGGCTTGGTGGTGCCTGGGAGAGGCTAAGCTGTGAAAAGAGGTCAGCTGCCATTGGGGTCGAGATTCCGGCAGCTTAGCAAGATGTACAGGGCATCCTGAGGCCAGATAGATACTGCTTGTTTGGGGTTTGTGAACCTTGAAGAGACTTTAGGAAAGTCTGCAGCAGGAACCAAGATAGGTAGCTTGCATGGAAAAGCCCCTGGAAGCAGCTTGAGTAGGCCCGAAAATTTGTTGGGGAAGGGACTCAGGGAATCATCGAGGCAGGGTGAATGGTGTTAGCCAGGCTGATGGAGACTCAGACTTGGCACTCACCTGTGCCTGCAGACTGTGTGTGAATGGAGCTCAACAAAGGGACAAAATTGCAAAGATTTCTGCCACTCCAGCCCTCACCCTGAAATCAGACCATTCAGTTTTTCCCTGTTATGTCCCTGGTGCTTTTCTTTTCTTTTTTTTTTTTTCCTCATCCTCACCCAAGTACATACTTACTGATTTTAGAGAGAGGGGAAGGGAGGGGGAGAGAGAGAGAGGGAAAGAAACATTGATGGGAGAGAGAAATGTTGATAGGTTACCTCTCGTACACACCCCGGCCAGGGACCAAACCCTCAACCTAGGCATGTACCATGACTGGGAATCGAACCTGCAGCCTTTCAGTTTATGGGATGATGCTTCCACCAACTGAGCCACACCAGCCAGGACTGCCCCTAGCGCTTTTTATGCTGCTGCCCCAGCACTGGAGCTCAAAGTGAGTGAGTCCATCAGTGAGTAAATCCATGTGGAGGCCCTTTAAGAGGATGCCTAGAACTATAGCAGCCCTCAATCTCACTAAACCACAATCCATGCTTATTTCCACAGTTGCAAGTTATAGGGACTACTCTTCCTTGCTGTGGAACCCCAGATTGGGGAGCCCAGTGTGAGACCCCCTCACTCTCTAGGGGGTACTTTTCCAGCTGAGATATCCCTCTTGATTCTTAACCAGATGGGTGTGGGGCTTGCTCATACCACATCTCCTCCCCTCCACCAGTCTTGACGTGGCTTTTTTAGTGTATCCTTAGTTATGGGACTTTTGTTCAGCTAGTTTTTCAGTAGTTCTCAAGGGTGGTTCTTCTGTAGTTTATTTGTAATTTTGATGTGGTCATGGAAGGTGGTAATCACAGCATTTACCTACTCTGCCACCTTGACCAGAAGTCCTACCATGTGCTTCTTATATACCAAGCTATGTTTATAGTGGTTTATTTTAAATTGATAGTCACTTAAGTTTGAACACATTCTAAAATCACTGCAATTTTTACTCACCTCCTCCACATTCATGTTTTCTGAATGCCTCTACACTTTCAAGACAATTAATGTAGGGCTCCAGTACCTAAACTTGCTATAACGCTTCCCCTCAACAGGGGTAAATTGACAACCCAGGTTCATCCTTGCTAGCACCAGACACCTTTTATCCACTCAAGGTGGGAAGGGCTGATCTCTGGTCATTAATCAACCAAGTGTTCGCTTAGTACAGTCAAAATTAAATAAACAGCAGCCCTGAGTTAAGCCTGCATGACTGCTATCAGCAACTCCTCCAGGCTTGCTGAAGAGCAGCAAATTATAGAACCTTTAAAATAAAGTGCATACAGAACAAGACCAACACACATACAACAGAATAGACTGAGTACTCTTCCAGAGAGAGAAATCTAAGACCCTAGGACTCGAACCAAAGGTTTGGGATTCAAACCCAACCTTTGAGGACCTCAGCAGCTGTAATATTTCCTCAGACTGGCTCCCTAGGTTGTGGGTCGGTGGGACTCATACCCACGACCCTAACCCTGGGAGTTCTAACCCAAGCCTCTGGGGGCGGGCCTCACACAATCAAGAGATTTCTTTAGACAATTTAGGCACATGTGCATATTACCATGGTCACTCACCTGAAAGATGTCTGATCCAGGGACTGTTTCTTCTCTTAAAAGTGAAAGTTACATGCAGAGCACTGCAGCGGAGTAGCAGGAACCCAGGAACAGCTGAGCCTTCAGACAATCCCGTCTAGGCAGCTGCTCAGAGTCAGCTTCAAGGGCTCCTGTGCTGCCTGGGGACACAGCGCCTCAAGCAGGCAGTCACGAGAAAAGACTAAAATTTTTATAGTCACCAAAGTTTTTACTAAGCAAGAACCCACTGCTTGATGTACGTAGGAACCAATGCTAGGCACCAGCTTTTGAGAAGAGAAAAGTTTTTACCACTAAGCCTACCTGCAAAGACAGAGGAGGCAAGGCTCAAATCTGTCTACCTGATCCAGGGTCCAGAGTGAGTTTTAAGGTGTTAGGGGGAACAGTATTGTTTGTGGAAGCTCTGACAGGGTGGGTTTCAATTGCAGGGTTTTTGGTATTTGATCATTTATGGTAAGATACGGTAAGGGTCTATGACACTGGGTCTTTATGGACAACAGATCCTTCACTTCTAGAAGAGTTCCAGTGTTTAAGTTCTGGTCATATCCTGGTCCTTTGGTTCCTTTGGGGGCAGGTGGTGCACCTGGAGATCAAAGTTCTCTCCTCTGTGCAGGCTTGGGCTGCATGACTTGCAATTTTGGTCTGTGGTCTCTGAAAAACAACTCAGTATCTTGTTAGAAACAGGATAGGACCAGTGTGAGCTGGTTCTGACATTACATCTGTCAAATTTCAGAAACTGAGCTTTCTTCAAGGCCTGCTTTAACCTCTGCCTGCTGACAGAAATACAGAACTGTCATTTGCAGCAGGGTCTTCCTAGTGTTGAGTGGGGTGAGGAGAAGAGAAACACTGCCCAGATTTCTTCTTTTCTCCCTGCAGGATTCAGGAGTGAGAGTGACAAGGAGAGCCCTCCATGAGAAAGGCCTGAAGACAGAGCCTCTCAGGAGGCTCCTTCCCAGGAGGGGCCTCCGGACAAATGCCCGGCCCAGTTCCACATTGCCACAGGACACCAGAGCTCCTGGGGGAGGAAACAAGGCCCCGAGGGCACCCAGGACTATCCCCCAGGGGAAGGGGAGGTGAGCTGGCTCCCTAGGCAAGGCGAGGCCCTTAGGCCTCCTTTGGCTACCCCAAGATCGAGCCACCCACCCGTGCCCTGAGGGTGCGAAGATTTTCCTCACCAGACAGCCAACATAGGAACATCTGGGCTAGCGGCCCTAGCCTGCCCTGACCCTAAAGCCACAGCACCCATCTTGCTCACCATCTGCTGTTGCACAGTGAGTGGGCCTACCAGCACCACAAATGTGGGAAGGACTTTGAGCACAACTCCGACCCCATCCAGAGCCTGAGGACGCATCACAGCCAGGGGCCCTGGCCATGCTGGAGGACAGGGTAGACTCTGGGCAGCGACGCCCACCTCCTCAGGTGCCAGGGCTCCCGCTCTGGCCCGTGAACCAGGTGTGAACGTAAGGCCCAGCGCCTTTCCCATCAGAGGGGGCAGAAGCAACACCTCCACTCAGGCTTCAACAGGCCTCCCACCTCCTGCAACACCAGGCCTTGCCTGACGATGTGACTGCTGCGTCACCCAGAGGCTCCCCGCCCCGCGTGGAGACCCTGAGTGGCACTGCCCAAACCAGCGCTCCACTCCATCCCCTACCTTACACCTCCCTGGAAGGTCCACAATGCCAGGCCTGCCGGCGAGGTTACCTCAGTCACCAGAAGAGCAGCAAGAGCTTCCACCAAGTGCCAACCATGCCAGTCCCCTGAGAATCCATGTGGGCAAAAGGCCTTTTGCCAGCATGCCTGCCTGGCCACCTCACACCATGGGACCCACCTGGAGATGGGGAAGGCAGCCTGGGCTTAGTGGGGAGGCCTTGAAGCTTCAGGGGCAGGAAAATCACCACCTGGAGAAGGCTCAGGGCATGAGCCCTTCAGGTGATTCCAAGGGTTTTCACCAAGTTCTTGTTACCAACTCCACTGCTGGGCCTATTTACTAGGAAATAATAAGGTCTCCTATTTATTGAGGGCTTACTCTGTGCCAAGCTTTGTGATTTATGGGAATTATCCCATTAATACTCACAATGTCTCTGTGACATTGATATTCTCACTGTCAGCATTTTACAGATAGAGAAACTAAGTCTCGGCAATTAAGGGACCTGCCTAAAGTCATACAGCCAGTATATGGCAGAACCAACCACATTCAGACCCAGGCCTGCCTGCCTGACTCCACAGGCTGTCCTACTGCATGGCTTCTCCAGCTACTGCCTGAGTTAAGGGTGCAAGTTTGACGGAACATCCGTTTATGGAGCATCCCTTTTTCTTGGGGTAATTCTATAAAACACTTTTGAGACGAAAGTGAGCAGATACTCCCTGGAATGAAAGTTAACACTTGCACTGATGATTGAGATGCCATAGAAGTTTCATGCTACAGCCAATCCTTCTCAGGCTCAGTCCTCGAAACCTTGAAATATCCTCTCCCCAGACCTCTGCCTTTAGAGGGACATTGGCCAAGGAAGATCTGCTCTGGGACCAGCTCCTGTGTGGGTCCTTTCTGGAGGCCAAGGAAGATGGCCTCTCCACAGTTTGCCATCCCACTGGGTTGCTTGGGAAGTTCCTCTGGGCTAAAGTTTCCAAGTTCCCAACAGATAATGATCATCTAGATTTTGGAATGAAAAATTGGAATCCTTGGGAATTCCTGAAATTGTCTTAATCTGTATTTTTCATAACTTTATGCATTTTTTATAAATAATAAATACACATTTAGCAGTAGTTACAAAGAACTGTAGGGTATTGCAAATATTCTAAACCTAGAAAATACCAGAGAACATTATTGGGTAGTATTCCAACAACAAAATGTTTAAATCTTTAACAAGATTACCTGCACTGCACAGAATCATGTGTTTAAATTGCCAGTTTAAGGACTGAATTGTTTCCAAAACTTGCTATTTCTTGAAAGAGCATTCATAGGATTTGCTTAAGCTATATTATGCATGTAAACTATTTAATATTTGTGAGAATGACTCACTGATAACAGACCACAAATACACTTTTAATACAGCAACAGTACCAAAAAGACTGGTTAGACTTTGACCACTTTTCTCCTATGTGCTCCTGTCCCAAGTTCCAGAAATGTCTTTCCTAACCTTGGACTCCATGTGTCAGTGTTTTCTTCTCTTGTTTTCTACTTGGTATCAGCAGATTCTTTCGAACCAGAGATGCCTCTGTTTATTTTCAAGCATTAATTCTCATAGGAAAATTATAATACTTTTTCCTATTTTCCCAATTTCTTGACACACACACACACACACACACACAAAATTCTGGTCTGAGAAGGATTGGCAAGACAAGTCTGATGCAGAAATAATTACCTAGCACATCTTCCAACCTGGTCACTGAAGCTTCATGGTTTCAGGTAGTTCAGAGCCAGAAGATCTAGTTATGGATCCCAGTCCTGCCATCTCCTGGTTGTGAGACATTGGGCAAGTCACTTTACCTCTCTGAGCTTCATTTTAATGAATAGAATGGTGCCTGGGAAATAATATACTTGCTTTGTGAGGCAATAGTATAGAAGGTTAAAAGTGTGGCTTTGGAGTTGACAGTCTGAGATTTGAACTCGTTATTTACCACTTCTTTGACTTGGGGCGAGGTCTCACCATGCAGAGCCCCATTTTTCTCTTCTGTAAAATGGAAAAACTGATTGATCCCATTTCATAGGGTTTAGGCAGTTTAAATGAGATCACATATGCAAATTCTTAACACAGAGCATGGTACATTGTAAATACTTGATAAATGTGGGCCAGTGTAGTTGTAATCTGCTGTATCTACCTCACAGGGCAGTTGTGAGGATAAATGAGGGATTTTGTTGTGCAAGTGCTTTCTAAGCTGTGAAATGGTGTCCACACTTCTCTTTCCTTCAGAAATGGGATGGTCAGAAGCTACTGGCAGATGTTAGTAGTATTTCCAAGTAAGGGGCCTGAGAATCCTTACTCATATCCATAGAAGACATCTGTGTTTAAGAGAAGGTATCACCCTGGTTACCTGGTAAACAGGGCTTAGTTGCAACCAAGTAGGCAAACTCTGGCATTGTCTGACTTGGGACACGGGGAGAAGACAGGGGGAAAACCAGTTTTCAGGAGCTGGTTTTGGAGAAAAAATAATGTTAAATGTAGCCTTCCTGCTATAGGTTTGCTTAACAGGAATTGAAACAGAGGAAGAGGACATGTAATAGAAGGTGGTGAGGAAGCTCTGACTCTTGTCTAAAGCCCTACTACTGCCTGAGCTTAGGAAACAATCCTATCAGCCAGAACCAGTGCATCCCATTCCTGCTATCCATGCATGCACTTCTGGTGCTCATTCATTCCTAGGCTGTAGACCAATTTTGGATCCCAGGGCTTTCCAAGATTATCTTCTGTAATCCTGACAGCTGCCCCAGAAAGTGAATACTGGCATGGCTCCCTTTTTGCAGATGAGGGCTTGGCATCTGGGAGTTAAGCCCATTGCCCGGAATCTTTCAACCTATACGTTGTAGAGTCAGGATTTAGAGAAAGTTCAAGCCCTTACCACTTACCAGGCTGCCTCAATAACCAGGAACCAGATGCTGAGCTTGAATGGGAAGAAGGAAACACAAATGTAAGGGATTGAGCACCTAAGTGACTTCCTCTCTTCCTTTCCATGACCGATCTCTCTCTCCCTCTCTCTCTCTCTCCCCCTCCCTCTCCCTCTCTCTTTTTCTCTCTCTCTGTCTCTCCCTCCCCGCCGCCCCCCCCCCCCAGATCCCCTGCTTTTCCTGGACAGCTTCTTTGCTTCCAGGGACGTTTTTCTCTGCTTAGCCCTTAAGTCCATGTCTTCTGGGCCGTGTCCTTGGACTCTCTTCTCTTTCTTTTGCACAGGTCTGTGAGGTGTGAGGTAGCTCCTTTATGCCCACAGCCGAAACTGCTGGTCATCTCTTATTCTAATCCAGACTGTCCCTCTGAGCACCAGCCTGATCCAGCCACCTGCCTCCTGACATCCCCACTCATTCCAGGCTCCCGACTGAACTCCATCTCTCCCTTAACATCACTCTCCTCCCAGGCTCCCGTTCCTCCTTACCATGGCCTCTTCACTTCAAATGCTGGTTGTAGAGGTGGGGGATCCAAGCAGCCTTTGTAGACAAAGCCTCTGGAATCAGTTCTTGGGGCTAGAGCTGGACTATTAGGTATGTTTCCTGAGAGCTGTTGGCAGTTTTGGGGGTGAACTTGGAAGGTGGAATTCACCATTTAATCAGCTGCCTGGCAGTGTGCAGGGTGTAGGGACAGAGGTGGAGGACATGTTTGTGAGGGAAACAGACAGGATCCCTGGCTTCAGGGAGCTTTCAGCCTACCAGAGAAAATGGACATTAAGCAATCCTTCCAAAATACACACTCTTATAAACAGTGCTAAGTATTTGCTTTTAACACTGTTAAGTATACAGAATGGAAGGAAAAGTTTAGGGTGCCATGAAAGAATAGAGTAGATCTATACTATATTGGGGGTCAAAGACCATTTTGAGAAAGTGACAGTTACTATAGCCCTGAGGCCTGAGTTGGAAGAAGAGAATTCCACACAGAGGCAACAGTAGGTGTGTGCACAAAGGCCCAGAGATGGAAAAGAACTTTGTATGTTGGGAAAACGGAAAGCGGAGCTGTGTCAATGGAGCTGTGTATGCTGGGGCAAGCGGTCAAGATAAGACTGGGCGAGCTGGCTGGGAATAGTGGCAAATGCCTTGTGGGCCATGGCCAGGAACCTAGATTTCTTGGTTTGACTTTTAATTTGGAAATAATTTCAAAGTTACCAAAAAAATTAATAATACAAAGTCTTCACCCTAATTATTAAAATTACTTGCTCTCTCTCTCTAAATTTAATATATAGTATATTGAGTTGGCCAAAAATTCCGTTTAGCTTTTTCCATAAAGACACATTTTTCATTTTCACCAATAACTTTATTGAGTTGGATATTTTGAGTATGTAGGCTCTCTCCTGTGTGGTATAACATTGATTGCTCTCAATTAATGTCTCAATCGCAATTCGATCTCTATTAACTTCAACTGGTCTACCTGACCGTGGAGCATCGTCCAGTGAGAAATCTCCAGCACAAAACTTCGCAAACCAATTTTGACATGTTCAACCAGTGACAGCACCTTCTCCA